GCACTGGTCTTGTTCATGGGGTGGTTGGTGACGGTGATGCCTGCACGCAGAGGACGGCTGCTTCAGACCCTGGCGCCCCCGCCCCGCCCCCGCCTGGCCGCCCCGCTCACCGTAGGCGGCGGGGTTGCCTCTGCTCTTGGGCAGGTTGGCGCGCAGGATGGCGTTGTTGAGACTGTTGAGGTAGGTGGGCATGCTGTGGTAGCCCTTGTTGTTGTAGAAGACCTGCGACAGAGGAGGCACAGGGAGGCCCAGGCCCGTGGGGCCCTGTGGACCTCAGCCGTGCCCGGCGCCGGGGCACCGAGCCGGCCGCACTCACCTGGGCTGCCCGACGCACCGCGATCTTCCGCACCATGGGCGGAGCCCTGGCGCCAAAGGAGGCGGGGATGGACTTCTGGACGTTGCCGAAGGTGATGGCTCCATACCTGCTCAGGCAGGTGGGGGCAGTGAGGGGGGCGGGTCTCTCCCAGGGGGGCCGGCCACCCACACCCGCAGCCCTCCCACCCGGCTCACCGGTGCAGCCGGAAGCGGTCAGAGGTGAAGAGCAGATACTCGGAGACGTTGTGGCCAGTGATGTCAGTCAGGATGTCGCCCGTGACCACCCGCATCTGGGGTGGGTGCCCGCCCACGCTGCTGGGGCAGGAGAAGCCGGTGCCCTGAGCTGAGCAGGTGCAGCGGGCGGGCTCCCGCACCAGGCGAGGCAGGGAGGGCGCCGATGTCCACGTCTCTGTGGGCACAGTGTGGCGCAGTGAGATGGACCCCGCGCTGCCTGCACCCCCAGCAGGCCCCCCGAGCTGCTACCTGGTCCGGCGGTGGGCAGCAGGGAGGCGTTCCAGGCCTGCGGCAGGTCCTCGTCCGGGGACACGGGTGAGTCGGACGGGGCGGGGGAGGGCGGGGGCGGCACGAAGTTGGACAGTGGCAGGCCCTGCGTGAAGGACTCCAGGCACATGCTGTCGAAGAACCGCGCGGCCAGCAGCCGGGACTCGCCGCTGCTGAGGTTCAGCGTGGACCCCAGGGAACCGTTGGTGGGAGACTTGAGCACGCAGGTGGCGCCCACGCCTGATGGCAGCCGGAATGTGCTTACGAGCTGCTGGGGGCTGGCATCCGGTGACAGCCGCAGTCTAGGGCCACAGATGGTGTGAGTCGGGGGCCGCCCATGTCCCTCCCTGCTGGGTCCCGTCGGCAGCCTCACCTGTACTCCCGCCGCTCCTCGTTGGCGTAGGGAATGAAGTTGCCGCGGGGCTGCGTGTAGTTGTGGTACTGGGAGGGTGACAGGACCAGTGGGGGCAGGTCACCTGGTGGAGTGAGCGGGGAGCCCTGAGCGGCTTCCGCCCGCCGGCTGGCAGCCCCAGCCTCGGTCCTCTCATCCCGGCAGGACTCCCCCGTGAGCTCTCACACAAGGGGTGAGGGTCCTGGGCGGCTTGGGGTCCGGCCAAGCCAGGAACTCGGGGTGGGACGGGAGCCCCAGCGCCCCCACCTGGCCAGAAAGCCTCACCGATCTCGGGGACGGACAGGGCCACGGTCATAGCCACGCAGACAAAGAAGGCGGGCAGCAGGATCTGGGAGAAGAGCGCCTTGGAGTTGCGGCGCGCGCAGTGGAAGCGCTTGACCAGCAGGCCGTGGAACTGCCGCGCCTTCAGCCACCAGCCCTCCAGCTTGCGGCTGCCCTGGCCGACCCGAGACAGGGCCTCCGCCTCGGCCTCTGTGTGGAGAGACGGACTGAGTGGTGGGCCCGCGCCACCCCCCGCCGCCTGCCCTGCCCTGCCCAGATGCCCCACCTTGCAAGCTGACGTTGTCGGGGTCCTGGGGGTTGTCGAACAGGGGCCGGTAGTCGCCGTAGACGTCGGCATAGCCTGCCCCCTCGTCACCGCGGGCGGAGCCCACCGAGGACACTGACTGCAGCGATGCCTGCGACTGGGCCAGCTCTGAGCACTGAGCCAGGTTGCCGGCCGGATCCTCCCCGCACGCCGGACCCTCCGCCCCCAGCAGGACGTCCTTCCTGGACTCCTTCACGTCTGCCACGGTAGAGGGCCCAGGGGCTCAGGCTGCCTGTGCCCCGTGTGCACTGGGTCCGGGCTCCCAGGCCCCTCCCCGGACGGGACCTCTGGCCACCCCCCGCCCAGGACTGCAGGCTGAGCCTGGGGCATCCCGGCCCCTTGCTCCCACTCAGGACCAGCATCCCCAGAGACCAGGCAGGCGACAGGGGCTGGGTCCACGTCAGGCCTTGGCAGGAGCCTCTCACCGGCCTCACTGTTCTCCAGCGACTGGTCCTCCTCGGACACCTTGAGGAAGACCTCCTCCAAGGTGGTGTCCATCAGCCCGAAGCTGCTCAGGTGCAAGGCATCCAGGCTGCGCTCCAGGTGCTGCGGGAGGGCGGGTGAGGCTGTGTGGGGATGCCCGGGGCAGGGGTGC